GGTATATTTAAAATATCTCTGTGACATTGTATTTGTTTGTTACATTGAATAAACTTGCTATGTTATTCTGGCACTATCAGGTGTTATACTTGAGCATTTTCATTACATTTCTGTAAGTAGTAGAGATCATTACTGATGTTTTAGCACTGTTCACTGTTCAACTACGTGATTTTCAAAAATTTGTACGCGTAGTGTACTTGTTTAGGAACGAATATATTCATATATGTTTCTCGTCACTTTAAACTTAACAACTTTTATAATACGCGCCATAAATCACAGCGATTCACAATCTCGATAATTTCGCTCTCGACGAGTACAAAACCCACACTTTATTACCCCGCTGGGTTACTATGCCAGGCTTATATACTGTTACGTCTCGGTTTGTTAATTAACTTTCCGTAACTTCGTTGCGACGAAACTTTAACGACACAAGTCCTTACTTAATAAAAACTGGTTTATTCTTTCCGAATATAACTTTACCGATACATTCAACTTCAACAATCGCGCTAAACAAACGCTGTAACGTCTCTCGTGCTCTCTGACTGCAGTTCAATAACTCACTATCTACACACACATTACATTACCTCCCTGCGTCACGTTTTTCCCATCTTATATATACCCGCCTACCCCATCTAGCAAATACTAGAGCATTCATAAAAAACAAGATAGTTCTAGAAAATAGAGGGCGCCACACCAGTCACGTGACCTCGATGACGCAACAATACTAAAGAAGTGGGCATCTCGAACAAACTCGGACTTCCATGATAATATGAGAAACTTCAGGCACGTGAGTTCCGCTGTCGTAAAACCTGCTTATTACACCTACTTCGCCCAATAACGTATGTTTAACCAATCCAAAGTTAATAATGTCCCTCTAGTGGTTTACTTAACCTCTGCGAAGTATTTTCACGCCAAACTCTTTCGTTTCATGTTAAATTCCAAGCCGCATAGTACTTAGTGAGCTCAAAAAATCATATTTATTTAGACCCAAATACTACTTAGTTACAAGCTTGATAAATTATGTGGTACTGATATAGTAATCTATGATTTTTGTTATATCAAATATATATATAAAACTTTAAAAAAATTATTTTTTTTTACATTTTCCACTTGCGAAATTTGATAAGGCTTAACAACTTACAGGAAGCATTAAAGGAGTACGAAGTTCGTAACTAGAAGTAGAAGGGAGGTAATTCATAATTGTTTTCTATATTTCTTTATTTACTGTTCTCTGTTTTAAGAAAAACAACTGAAATTTATTAACTTATTTGTAAATAGTGATAATACATATAATGTATTATAACATAAATGTGACTGTATTTTACAAAATACTGGTCAACCAGAACACAGCTGGGGCAGGTCACTTTGTAAAGGCCAGTTTTATACTCTTGGATACAGTAACATGAGTGCACGTGCGCCCGTCATTGCAACTTCTGTAATGTTGGTTATGCATGGCTGAAAGGTCAATAAAATGAAAATAATAAATATATATAGAAGTATAATGTTATGAGATTTAAGCTATTTAGACTAAACATTTGTGTTTTCTTGTTATAATCTGCAGTCATTCTAGAACGAAAGAAGCATAATTTATATCTATTTTCTAATTTTTTATGGTTACGAGGTCGATCAAATCGACCAAACCCACACAGAGATACAATAGTGAAAATAACAGATAAGATAGAAAGTTTTTTTTTTTTAAAAAGTATAATAATTATCTGAAGGTTATAAAAATTTCGCATGTGAAATTTGACAATTCTGTGATGCATGAAAGTAATTTTAATCTTAGAATCAAAAATACTTTTCATGTTGGATAATCAACATTCGAAAAGAAAAAATGCATGAGAAAAACATTACTTAAAAAATATTAAAACTGAATAAAAAATCTGATATTTTGCGTACGAAAGCCTTGTAATGATTACTCATAATTTGCAAAATTTCGTGAAGATACGCTTATTGTATTAAAAGTTATACCATGAAAACTATGTTACAACAGTGGAGGTCACATGACACTTGTAACACGTCATGTGCTTCTAGAACGTTCATGAAACCTCGAGAGGTCACTAGATATGCAG